AAAAAAACGAAGTCCAGATGACATGATTCAACCTTTTTTGTTGTTATATACCTGGATGACTGAGAAAACAAACTTTGTGTGCTGTTTATTATTATTTTTTATATTTTTTATTATTCTCCTCCCTAAAGAAGGGTTAATTTGGAGGCCTTAGCATATCCCAAAACTCACCAAGCTTTACCCAAACTTGTCCCCCATGGAAAATTTTTGTTTTTTAATGGAACCAAAGTGGGCGTGGCCAAACTGCTCAGCAGCGCCCCCTAACGTGAAATACGAGAACTGGTAAGTCGTAGAGAACTGAAATTTGGTACATAGGTAAAACCCCCTGAATCAAGAAAAAAACGTTACTTGGAGGTATGCCCTAAACCCAACAGGAAGTCGGCCATTTTGGGTCAAAGGGTCATTTTTGGGCTTTTTTCACTTTTCATACATGGCATATTTTAACGAACTCCTCCTAGGCTTTTTGAGATATTGCCTTCAAACTTGGTGGATATGACCTTAAGACATTGGGGAGTAAATGTAATAAAAAAATTGCGTTTTCATATATATTAAAGGGGCGTGACCAGGCCTCAAAGTTGAGCTTCACGCCATAAATTTCCAAACGCTACAACTTTCACATTGAAAAACAGAATTGCACCAAATTTGGCATGAGTCATCCCTGTCCGATGCCCGACGATACTCTGTGGTCATATTCTGATGTCATCAAAGCCCCGCCCCCTCAGAACAGGAAGTCACTTTTTTTTATTGGAATGCTCCCTCTCTGACACTATTGAACCAATCCGGATGATCCTGTGTTAGAAGACATGTAACAAGATGGTCTGACTTGCTTTAAAGCACGAAGTGTTTTCGCTGGAGGATGTGGGCGTGGTGGCGTGGCGAACTCAGAAGTGACGCCGTTACAATACGTTTGGCTCTAAATTCCACAGATTTGATCCAAGGTTCATCAAAATCACTATGATCGATCATTGCCCACCCCTTGAACAGGAAGCCATGATAATTGCCCAATAGCCTCCATAGCGCCCCCTAGAATTTTTTAAAACGTCAACCCGAAGCCATTTTTTGACCGATAATTCTGAAACTCGGTGAACATGTGTATCTTCTCAGGGCCTATGAAAAAGCCTCTTGGAGCCCCAGTCCAAAACCAACAGGAAGTCGGCCATTTTGGGTCAAAGGTTAATTTTTGGGCGTTTTTAATTGCGAATTTTAACGAACTCCTCCTAGGCATTTTGAGCGATTGCCTTCAAACTTGGTTAATATGCTCTTAACACATTGGGGAATAAAAGTTAGCAAAAACTTGTGTTCTCCTTTATGTTAAAGGGGTGTGGCCAGGCCTCAAAGTTGAGCTTCACACCATAAATTTCTAAACTTTATAACGTTCACATTGAAAGACCAAAATGCACCAAACTTAGCATGAGTCATCCCTGTCTGATGCCCGACAATCCTCTGTGGTCATATTCTGATGTCATCAAAGCCCCGCCCCCTCAGAACAGGAAGTCACTTTTTTTAGCTTGGAATGCTCCCTCTCTGATATCCTTGACCTAAACAGAATGATCCTATGTTAGAAGACATATAACAAGATGTTCTGACTTGCTTTAAAGTGCAAACCTTTTTTGCTGGAGAATGTGGGCGTGGCGGCATGGCGAATTCAGAAGTGACACCATTGCAATACGTTTGGCTCTAAATTGCACAGTTTTGAGCTGAGATGTACCAAAAACACAATGATCGATCATTATCCACCCCTTGAACAGGAATGCATGATAATTGGCCAATAGCCTCCATAGCGCCCCCTAGAAATTTTTTAAACGTCAGCCCCAGGCCATTTTTTACCCGATAATTCTGAAACTTGGTGAACATCTGTATCTTCTCAGGACCTATGAAAAAGTCTCTTGGAGCACTGTTCCAAACTCAACAGGAAGTCGGCCATTTTGAGTCAAAAGTTCAATTTTGTGCGTTTCTAATGGCGCATTAAAAAATTCCTACTAGGCATTTTGAGCGATTGCCTTCAAACTTGATTAATGTGCCCTTAACACATTGGGGAATAAAAGTTAGCAAAAGCTTTCATTCTCCTATATGTTAAAGGGGTGTGGCCAGGCCTCAAAGTTGTGTTTCACGCCATAAATTTAAAACCACTATAACTTTCACATTGAAAGACCGAAAAGCACCAAGCTTGGCATAACTCATCCCTGTTGGATGCCCGACGATCCACTTTGGTCATATTTTGACGTAATCAAAGCCCCGCCCCCTCAGAACAGGAAGTCTTTTTTAAAATTGGAATGCTCCTTATTTGACACCATTGACCTAATCATGATGATCCTGTGTTAGAAGACAGATGAGATGGTCTGACTTGATTTAAAGTGCAAACCATTTTAGGTGGAGGATGTGGGCGTGGCGGCGGGGCGAATCAAGAAATGATGCCGTTGCAATACGTTTGGCTCTAAAATACACCGATTAGAGCCGAGGTGTACCAAAATCAATATGATTGATCGTTATCCACCCCTTGAACAGGTATCCATGATAAGTGGCCAGTAGGCTCCATAGACTCAAGTCCGCCCCCTAGATTTTTGAAACTGTTATATCTCAGTGATATATCATCCAATCTGCACCAGATTTTTGGTGCATCACTAGTGAGAATTTCTAGACACATTGATATTGTTTTTTAACTTTTGTCTCTAGTGCGCCCCCTAGACTGTTCAAACTGTTATATCTCAGTGATATATCATCAGATCTGGACCAGATTTTTGGTGTGTCATTAGTTAGCACTTATAAACACATGGTATTGGTATTTTACTTTTGACTCTAGTGCGCCTCCTACATTATTACAACAGTTATATCCACGGTCGCAGCTGATGTCAACGTTTCGGCGAATGCGCACTCCGGTGAACAGGCGTGGGAAGGGAGCGTGAGCATGAATGATGGCGACCAGGCAGAGTTGCTGGAGCTCCCCTGGTCGCCGTAAGGACGCAGCGGCGCTTTGTTGCGAGGGCCTTCTATGCTGCTTGCAGCTTTAATTATTATTATTATTATTATTATTAGAAATTTATTAATTTCATTAAAAACAAAATAATTATATACAATAGAAAACTAAAAATATGTATACAATCAAAAATAAAATGAAAGGCAGCAGAAGAAGAAAAAATCTTATATCTGCCCCTTTTTGCTTAGAACATATTCAAACAAAAGTACCCAACAATTTTCAGTCAGGTCATCTGGACAGTTTCTATTTTTTTTTTCTGAAACGTTTCAGCAACAAAAAAAACAACAAAAAAATAGAAACTGTCCAGATGACCTGACTGAAAATTGTTGGATTGTATACCTGGATTATTGAGCATGGACTTTTTTGGTCAAACAAAAGTAATTTACAATAAAAACAAAGCTAAATAAAAACAGCATCAATTCAAACAAAATTTGTATAGATATGTAGTGAACTAGGCCTCGACCTCTACCTGTCTCTGAAGACCTTCATGGGACAGGAACTGTTATTTCATTGATTTGAATCCAGAAATACAAATTAGCTCATCCAGAGACTGTCTAATTGTATCCTGAATTAATTAATTGAAAGAACACTCTTCTTTTTATATTATCATTACTATTTTACAATATCTTGATTATCAAAAGTGTATTTAGTTCATATCATTTCTAATGTTGAAAGTAAACCACTCACGTAAATCAACTGTGAAACAGTATTAATGATTTTTAAACCTCATTAGACTTAGAAATCAAGTTAAATGTCTATTTACAAAGTAATTATGCATTTTGATCTTCTGTCTGAATGAGAAGTCAGTGATGTCGGTCAAAAGTCAGAGACAGTCAGAGAACGAGTTATTAGAACGAACTGTATTGTTTTTAAACCTAGCAGACGGTAAATAACTGCCACTGGCATCTGCATTCCTCTCACTTCTTCAAAACATTTCTCTGTCTGTACTAAACGTTCCTAAACATTTGTAGTGAACTAAGCCTCAGGTCAAAACCTGGACCTTCCTGGGACAGGAACTGTTATTTCATTGATTTGAGTCCAGAAACACAAATTAAGCTCATCCAGAGACTTCTAAGTGTGTCCTGCACTAATCAATTGAAAGAACACTCTCTTTTTTATTATCATTACTATTTTACAATATCTTGATAATCAAAGTGTGTTTAGTTCAAATCAATTTTAAATGTTGAAGTGGACTACTCATTTTAAATCAACTGTGAAACAGTATTAATGATTTTTAATCCTCATTCAAAGTAGAAATCAAGTTAATGTCTGTTACAGAGTAATTATTCATTTTCTTGATCTTCTGTCTGAAATGAGCAAGTGTGATGTCGGTCAAAAGTCGGAGACAGTCGCAAACAAGTTTATTGGAACAAACTGTCATGTTTTTAAAACCTCTCAGACATAAATAGAGGAGCTGGCACCTGCTGTCTGTCATCTCGCCTAAACATTTCTCTGTCTGTTTCAAAAACATTTCTCTGTCTGTTCCAAAAACATCTCACTGTTTTTCTGACTTGTAGTAACCTCTTACGTCACTAAAACCACACCCCTGTTGGCTCTTTCAACCAATCAGGACTTCCCAAATGAACCGGAAACAGAACTCTTTAAATGTTGACACTTCCTAGTTCCAAACAGTTCGGAGAGCAGAACCGAACAGAAAAGTTGCTGGAGAGAACAAGAAGTTCCAGACATGATCCGAAGTTCTTTAGAGTCTCGTGGGAATTATGGAATCTTCCACATTTGAGTGGAACTCTGACGGGCTCACAGCTCATGTGAGTCCACCTGAGAGGTGAGCGTGGTGTTGAACGAAGTACCGTCACTACTTCGGACGATTCGCAGCTCTTCCTACGGAGACGCTGGAAAGGTAGCGTTAAATGGAACTCCGTACCAGTGGAGACATCTTCTACAAGGTAACGAGTCCCTCACTACCGAAGTGTACCGAGGTTGAGCTGGGTTCGGATGGAGGGTGCCGTTCGTTATCAACACACTTTTCCGTCATCCATTTCCTCTCCATTTAAACTCCTTCATTTTCCCATCTTTAAACTTCTATCTTGCCAGTAATCATCCGGATATTTTCAGAAATGTCTTTTGCATTTTAGTTGCAAGTGAGAAATCATGGCCGTATGGTTTCTCATTGTAAAGCTCATTAATTAAGCTGTGTTATTGCGTTCAATCAGAATAATCACGTGTACAATGTTTGATGTTAAATTTTGATTCTGTTAATAAATGACCACATTCATTTTGGTGGGTCAAAGAAAATTAACGTCTCACGTCACTGATTAAACCATCTCCCACACATTATCTCTGTCACATATCTGTCAAGTAGCTCGAAAAAGAGAGAATCCGTTTAAATTAAGTATAATATCAGGTACTTGAACTAGTCCAGATATTATAACATGTAGTGGAGCTCCGAAGCTAAATGAAGCTAACCGACCTATTTCACTACACATTCCTGAACCCTCTCTTGACTTTTAATAACCCTCTGACATCACTAGAACCACCCCCGTTGGTTGTTTCAACCAATCAGGAAGTACTAAGTGACCGGAAGTGAAGACTCTTTAACAGTCAGCACTTCCTGGAACTACTCAGTCTTCTCGAGTCTTGGACCAGTCTTCTCTTGAGTCTTCAGGCTTTGATCTGAGTCTTCTCGACTCTTCCATGGAGTCTTCTGGGAGTATTCCACTTTTGAGTGGGATCTCTGACGGAGTCACAGATCCTTGCTGTGAACTCACGTTCACGCCACGTTCACGTAGCGTAACGCCTACAACTTCGAAGGAAGCCTGTTTGTTGAACGGAGTAAATCGACACGACTTCTGACAATGACCAGCTGCTTTAACTGGAGACGCTGGAAAGGTAGCGTGCATCGGGACATCTATACCAGAGCTGATCCTCATCTGCCAAGGTAAAGAGACGTCACGAGTGTCGCGCACTAAGTGTACCGGAGGTTTGAGCTGGTGTTGAAAGAAGCGTGCTAATTCTGGTCAACAACATACATCTTCCTCCATCCATCTCTTCTTTAAACCTCTAAATCTCTCCTCTTGTAAATCTTTCTGCCAGTAAATCAATCTAGGTGCCTTCAGAAATGTTCTGTTGTCTTGTTAGTAAAGTGTGCCAAGTTTTATTAATCAGAACCAGATCAGCGAATCAAGTGTACAATGTTTTGATGTTAAATTCTGATTCTGTTAAATAAATGACTGCATTTATTCTGATGGGTCAAAGGAAAATAACGTCTCATGTCACTGATGTAGTGAGTCACGTGGGTACGTGTCACTAGTTGTATGACAAATATA